AGCTTGGACAAGGTAGGACGGCTTGGACAATGTAGGGGACAAGGTAGGACGGCTAGGAGACAAGGTAGGACGGCTAGGAGACAAGGTAGGACGGCTTGTGACAAGCTAGGACGGCTTGGACAAGGTAGGACGGCTTGGACAAGGTAGGAGACAAGGTAGGACGGCTAGGAGACAAGGTAGGATGGCTTGTTCTTCCAATACTCCCCCTCAAGCTGGATCAAAGAGGTTAATTGATCCAAGCTTGGAGAGCAGACTTTGAAACTGAGGAGAAGCAAGAGACTTCGTGAAAATATCAGCAAGTTGATCTTGGCTTCGAGTGAATGTGGTTTGAATTACCTTGGACTGGACTTGTTCCCGAACGTAGTGACAGTCAACTTCAATGTGTTTGGTGCGTTCATGGAACACCGGATTGGAGGCAATATGCATAGCTGCTTGATTGTCACAGAAAAGAGACATAGGTGTGTTGATTGAGAACCCCAAGTCCGAGAGAAGGCCCTTGAGCCAAATGAGTTCACATGCAGTGGAAGCCATGGCTCTATACTCAGCTTCGGCACTTGAGCGAGCAATTACATTTTGTTTTTTGCTCTTCCATGTCACGAGGTTTCCTCCAACCAACGTGCAGTAGCCAGTAGTGGATTTTCTATCAATTGCATTCCCTGCCTAGTCAGCATCGGTGTAGGCAATGATTTGAGTATGACCATTGTTTTTCATGACGATTCCCCGACCAATGGAGCCTTTGAGGTATCTGAGAATTCTTTTAACAACATTTAAATGAGCTTCAGTGGGTGCATGCATGAATTGGCTTACAAGACTGACGGCGTAAGTTATATCCGGTCTGGTGATGGTGAGATATATAAGATATATAAGCTTACCCACCAATCGTTGGTAGTAACTGATATCACTGAGAGGTTCTCCTGTCAAGTCCAACTTCAATTTGCTATCAAGAGGAGTACGAGTTGGTTTGCAATCCATCATCTTCACTTCTTGAAGTAAGTCAATCACATATTTCCTTTGACTCAAAAAAAGTCCCTTGGAGGAAGTGGCCAGTTCAATCCCAAGAAAGTATTTTAAAACTCCTAAGTCTTTAATGGCAAATTGTTGATGAAGAGAATGTTTAAGATTGTGAATCTCATCAATGTTATCACCTGTGATGATGATATCATCAACATAGATTAGTACAACTAATTTGCCAACTGATCCTATTCGAACAAACAGGGAGGAATCAGCATGACTTCTCTTGAACCCAAAATTTTCAAGTACCGAGCTCAGTTTGGCATACCAGGCACGAGGAGATTGTTTCAAGCCATAGATTAACTTATGAAGCTTGCAAGCCATACCTGAATTCTGTGCTTGTGGATGACCCGGGGGTAGTTGCATGTAGACTTCCTCTTCGAGGTCTCCATGTAAAAAAGTATTTTTTACATCCATTTGGTACAATGGCCATTCATGGTTCACTGCAACAGATAACAAAACCCTTATTGTGCTCATCTTAGCCACGGGAGCAAATGTCTCCTTATAGTTTACTCCAAAAGTTTGAGTAAAACCGCGAGCCACCAATCTTGCCTTGTATCGTTCAATTGAGCCATCAGAATTAAACTTGATTTTATAGACCCACCGACTGCCTACCACCTTCTTGCCTTTGGGAAGTTGAACTACACTCCAGGTTTTATTTTCATTCAAGGCTTTGAGTTCTTCTTCTATGGCTAGCCTCCACACAACTTGACGATTGGCTTCTTGAAAGTTCCTTGGTTCACTTTCATAGGACAGTTTACTGAGGAAGGCTGCATGAGAGTGAGAGACTTTGGAGTAATTTACAAACTTGTGAATAGGGTACCTTGCATGGTAAGTTTCATCGTCTTGCAGCCTTGATGGTGGATGTCGATCTCGAGTCGGATTCCTGCGGGGTTGATCTGGGATCACAATAGGTTCAGCTCCACTCTCTTGTATAGATGTTGTGTTATGGTCATGGGGAACTACTTGTGCTTCTGAGGCTTTAGTGTCGTCTCCAATAAGCAGGTTGTCATTAAGGGTTGCATGAGAGTCCCGGTTGCGAGGTAGTGAATGGACACAGTCACTTGATTCGACTGGATTTGGCAATGGGAAGAGATCTAGGAGTGCTCTCCTGACGATTTTGATCTGATGATTTGTTGAAATATGGTTGGTTTTCATCAAACCGTACATCTCTTGTGACAAACATCTTCCTGGAGCATGGATTGTAGCATTTGTACCCCTTTTGGGTGGAGGAGTATCCCATGAAAACACACTTGACAGCTTTGGGATCAAGCTTGTCTCGGTGATGGGATTGAATATGAACATAACAGGTACATCCAAAGATTCTCAGATGGGAAAGATTAATTTTTTTGTTTTGCATAACCTCAGATGGTGATTTTGTATCCAGAACACGACTAGGCAGTCTGTTGATAAGGTAGGTGGCTGCAAGAACTCCTTGAGACCAAAACCTCTTAGGCACATTCATTTGCAACATTAGCGCCCTGGTTTTTTCAAGTAGGTCCCTATTCTTCCTTTCGGCAATTCCATTTTGCTGAGGAGTACCTACACAACTTGTTTGATGTATAATTCCATGGGTGCTCAAATAGTTAGTCATATTTTTGGATGTATATTCAGTGCCATTATCAGACCTTAGTATTTGGATTTGGGACGAAAAATGGTTCATGACAAGATTATGAAAGTCCTTGAAAGCATCCATAACTTCACTTTTGAATTTTAGGAGGTACAACCAAGTGGCTCTTGAGAAATCATCAACAAAGATAACGTAGTACCTATAACCATCAAAAGACTCTAGAGGGGCAGGTCCCCAAACATCGGAGTGCACCATCTCAAAAAACTTGCTAGTCCTAGATATGGAAGAATTGAATGGAAGTCTAGTAGATTTTGACAAATGACAAATTTCACATACAAGGGAGGATTTGCATAAACTAGGGAACAACGTAGACAACACAGATTCTGAGGGATGGGCTAGGCGTTGATGCCACAACCGATGTTCTAGGTTTGAGCTGACTGGGAACCCCTTTGGAACATTGAGGTCCTCTGAAAAATAGTACAACCCATTTAGGTAGTGACCTTCACCAATCAGCTTCTTGGTGGCTAGATCCTGAAAAACAACATTGTGGGGGGAAAAATTGCACGACAGTTTAGAGAGTTTGTAATCCTTCATACGGACAATAATTGAAAAGGAAAAGATGGAACATATAACGCTGTGGACTCAATAGTTTCTGAGATCAGTTTAACTTTCCCTCTACCTAGAACTGGCACACCTCTACCATTTGCTACAGAAACTAGTGATGGTTTAGTGTAGCTTTCAAAATCGTATAACTTTGAATATTGATTTGTCATGTGATCTGTGGCACCTGAGTCTATAATCCAAAAATCATGAGAGTGACTAACATTTAGAGCAGTTGAAAGAGCACACATGATACTTGGAATGTCTCATTGAGGTACATGACCAGATTCAGCTAAGAACCCTGCAAACTGTCCAAGAAGAGCAGTTTGACTTTCCCCAGTCGACGTTTCACCTGTGCTTCCTTTTCTGGTTACAAGGTAGGTTGAGAACTCATTCAACAAGTCAGCCGGATTGGTTGTAAAGTTCATCGACCCACCGATGGATGTAGCAGCAGCAGCATGGTACTTGTTTGTATGTGGTCTAGCGTGTGAGCCCTTATGATCTCTTAAAGGCTTGTTCTCAAACCTTGGCTTTAACTCAGGGTGCAATATCCAGCATCGATCTATTAGATGTCCAACATTATTACAATGTAGACACTTCAGATCTGGCCTTTTTCCCTTGTATACTTTATCTCCAAATGACTTGTGATTTGTCACAAAAGCTCTAGCCTCAGACACACTAGGTTTTACGTCAACATTCATGACTTTTCTGCGTACTTCTTCTCGCTGGATAGTAGTGCAAACACTTGCAAATGATGGAAGTTCGGGATTCATTAGAATATGGCTTCTAAGATCTTCATATTCAGAACCCAAACTTGCAAGCAAATGAAAGATTTTGTCTTCCTCGGACCTTTTTAACAGTACGGCAGCATCGATAGTGTGTGGTCGATACATATCTAGTTCGTTCCACATGTTTTTCATGCAACCGAGATGATGAACAAAGGATTTATCACCTTGTTGAAAACTTGCGAGATTCCTCTTAAGCTGGAACACTCGAGCAGCATTGTTTTGATTTCCATACATGTCCTTAACTGCCTTCCAAAGAGCACTAGAGGATTCTAAAAAACTGAAAATTTCAGATAGCTTAGGATCCATGGAGTTGAGGAGCCACGACATGACCAGCTGGCCTTTGCACAGCCATGCTTCATACTCCGGCGATGCGACGTCAGGTGCTTCAATACTTTCATTGACGAATCCAAGTTTGGATCTTCCTCCAAGGGCAAGAGATATTGATCTGGACCATGGAAGATAGTTAAACTCATTTAACAACACAGAACACAAACGCTGGTTTGGGTTGACTTCAGCTTCTGGAAAACTAGGGCAAGGAGCTGTGAAGCTTTCAGCTTCTGAGCCAAAAAGATTATCTTCTGCCATTATCGAAACGAATGTGCAGAAGAAGAGAAGGGACAACAATGGAGTCAGGCCGGTTAAGGTTCCGGCTCTGATACCATGTGGAAAATATGGAAGAGAATGTTTTTTCTCATTATATTTCTCTACAAGATTACAAGGATATATATACATGAAACACTTAAGGGATACAAGTGTGTAGCTTGAACAAGGTAGGACGGCTTGGACAAGGTAGGAGATAAGGTAGGACGGCTTGTTGTGTAGCTTGGACAAGCTAGGACAGCTTGGACAAGGTAGGAGGGCTTGGACAAGGTAGGAGACAAGGTAGGACGGCTAGGAGACAAGGTAGGACGGCTTGTGACAAGTTAGGACGGCTTAGACAAGGTAGGACGGCTTGGACAAGGTAGGAGACAAGGTAGGACGGCTAGGAGACAAGGTATGATGACTTGTTCTTCCAATAGGCTTCAAATATTATGGTGTCTGAGTTGCTTACAGTGGACAAGAGGGAGTGGAGGATTGAGGAGGTTGCGGCATTGGTGTTTCCAGATGATTTGGCTTTGATTCAGACTATATCAATTAGTAGGTTTGGGTGTGTGGATCAACGGATTTGGCATTACACAAAAAATGGTTTATATTCAGTAAGGTCGGGGTACCATGTTGCAATGGATATGATAAAAAATGGGGAGCTTGTAAGGAAGGGCAGTGGAATGTCGAGTAATCCGGATACATTGAGAGGAGTTTGGAGGAGGATTTGGTCTGTTATGGTGCCACATAAACTCCAGGTTTTTACTTGGAAGGCTTGCAGGAATGCGTTAGTGGTTAGGCATAATCTTGAGCGGCGGCGGATTAGGGTGGTCAATAAATGTGATTTTTGCTTTTCTTTCATTGTGAATTCAACCGTGTTTTTTTTGTTTGGGACGTCCCTACAACTTAATATGGCAAGATTGGGGGCCAATGATTTTCTTGAAGAATGGCAGCAGATTGTGCAGCGGACGAAAAAGGAGGTGGATGCCGAGGCATTGCTGCAACATGTGGTGTTTGGGTTTTGGCGCATTTGGAAATGTCAGAATGAGGTCGTGTTTAAAGGGGTTCGAACTTTACCCCAAGTGGCTGTTGAGTTGTGGCAGCGGCATTTGGTAGAATTTAGGGATGCTATGGGTGATATGGTGGGAGAGGGAGGGGATGTTTTAAGGGTTAGGTTGTCTGGGGTGAGGAATGATTTAGGGGATCACCGGGGGGATGAGTTGGGAATTGGGGAGGGCACGAGGGTTGGAGTTGGATTTCAAAGGAGGACAGAAGACAGGCCGGGGGGGGGGGGGGGGGATGCTAGCAGAAACCCAGTTTTGGCGTGTTGAAACTTAATTGCGATGTGGCATGGATGAAACATTCGAATGAGGGAGGGGTTGGGTAGGTCCTTCGAGATTTTGCGGGGATTCCGAAGCTAGCGAGAGGGGAAGGAGGGGGATTCTTCGGGAATGCAATTATGGCTGAGGTTGAGGCAGTCCGTAAGGGATTGCAGGCGGTGGTGGGTAGTAATGTGGGAACTAGTGCTAGGTTGGTGGTTGAGTCGGATTCTAAGGGCTTGATTCAGATGCTCAATAAAGCGGTTGTGGTTGATGTGATTCTTGAGATTTATCTCCTAGATATTTGGAGACTGGCAAGCTTTCAGTCGATGAGGTTTTGCTTTACCCCTTGTCATTGTAATCATGCAACTCATTTGATTGCGGTGTACGTTGTTAAGCATGGTAGGAGATTTGGCTAGGATAAGTTAGGTCCTACGTTTCTTTTTAATATTCTAGCAGAAGATGCTCATGTAACGATTCGAATTTAATTCAATAAAATTCTATCTTTTAACCAAAAAAAAAAATTACTAATATATTTTTAGTATTGACGAAGATGGATATAATCGTTAACCGATGGGCAATCCATTACCCGGTGGGTATGGTTATGGATAATTCCTGATGGTTAATTTGCGGTTATGAATATGGTTAATTTTTGTGGTTACGTGGATGAATATAGCATTTCCGTCCTCAAACCGAATCATTACCATCCCTAAGAATAAGCATATTCAAGTTCCATACACAAATTTTGAACAATATTGCGTATATGGATCTCCGTTTGCCTACTTGTCATATATTACACATACGAGTATCTTTTGTTGAAATCTATGCAGACCAAAGATATTGATGCCAAGTTTGGTCTTTATACTGAAAAACAATCAATAATTCCTATTGCAACTATTATGCTCCAGCTAATTGGATGAATCGAATTCACTGTATTCGTTTAATTGCTAAAGTTAAGCGCAATACATTGTTTGCAATCCCACCCAATTAGAGGCAGTACTTGGCAGTCCAGCCTAGATTAGAGGAAGAACAAAGCTGCATCCAGCAATCTCTGTGGACAAGAAAAATTTATAAACACAAACCCCGCGAGCCATAGCACCTCACAAATCTTGCGCAGCCATACTAATTCACTGCAACACCACCCTTCTAATGGGGTACAAGTTATCAAAGAAAACAAAAGGTAAGCAGGATGCAAGTTTATACCGTCTAGCCTTGCACCCTACTAACTGTGACGATTAAGGTCCAATCAAACACACCCAAATAGTTAGCCAGTAGAATGGTGCAGTAGTTGCACTTTCGGACCAGTTTTGGAGCATATCAATAAAACTAAATTCTCTTTATGTCAATCTTTCTCATGCTCCTCTTGTTATAATGTTTTGAGTCAACTGAAAGCAAAGAGTTAAATGGGTGGGCAACGGAACCGAAATTGGTTGGTTGCTCATCTAACATTGTGAGCGCACAGAGAAAAAAAATTGAGAAACTGCTCGTTAGAGTTTAGGGCTCAATGATACCATATAATGTTTTGAGTCTGGCTGAATAGCTTTCATTGATTTGTTTACAAGGAATAATACAAGATAATATACTAGTCTAGGAGAGACTTTACACGGAAAGTAATAAATGAAAACATGTAATTAGCAGCAGCTATATATACAAATTACAATTAGAGATTATGTAAAAGTCAACGGTTGATTTGCCTAGCTGGGATGCTTGATACCTGGAGGAGATGGTGTCGTCATGGCTGGTGTAGGAGTGATAGATGGAGAGGAAGAGACTTCCCTTTTACTTCTCAATTCTTAATTTTACCCCACTTTCTTCCCTACAAATTTGTGAGCAACAGAACTCACAAATACGTACAGTTTATACACACCTATAGACGCACCATTTTGAACTTTTATACACAACCAGACTATTCAAATTCTTTCGAAATCTTTCAATGGGGAGTCGTACACGTATACAGCCCCATAGAGTTCTCTACCAGCTGCCAACTTTCTAGCAAACCATTTTCAACATACTACTAGATAGTAGATAACACAGTTATAACCAAGTTCCACATTCACCATTTTATGAAACCGAAGGCTTCCCATTACAACCCATACACAAGTGAAAGTATTCAGGTAGAGTTTTGGCGATATCCATCATCTCAAAGACAATAATATCTTCAAGGTAAAATAAAACAATTAGGTGCAATTTTAACATTAGCCCCTCTTAACTATTAGGTGTGGAAATCTTCAAATTTTGCCCATATCTAAACTACCTATTAATAAAATCCTCTTTGTAAAAAAAAAAATAAAGGGGTGAAAACTAAAAAGACTATCTAGTCTTCTATCACAACAAAAAAGTTATGGGCAATAATATAATTCAAAAAATTAAAATATTTATCAAATATAGCCAAATATTAGCCTATAATTTCAAAAATGTCAATTTTTATAAAAAATTTCAAATATATCCAAATGTCACTTATATAGACACAAATACCCTTAAGCTTTAAACCTAATAAATTAAAAATTCAAAGCCCTATTAGATGAAGTGTTCCCACGGCTAAACCTAAAAATGGTGCTTTTTCTTATACTAGTCTTTCGACTACTAGTAACCGAATAAGTTCCCCTTTGGAAATCCAATAGTTGACAGGGAAGATGGAACAATAGATCAAGCAGTGGTAAAGATCATCAGGAATAGATGAAGAAGTTGATGTAGAAGGGCAATATACTATTTTCATATAGCACCAAGTAAACTATTGAACAAACAAAAATGAATTAACTTTTATTTGTCTTAAATTTAAAGGATTGTACAACCAATATAAACAATGAAATGATAGAAAGAAAATATGATTCATTAAACTGTAAATTTAAAAGGGTTCTACAAAGTAGGATGAAGTTGAACGGGATTCCTACAAGTTTGCTTATAATGGTCATTTAAACCACATTTTGAACACTTTTGAGTTGATTTTTCTAAAAGGGTTTTGGTCATTTAATTCATTAGGTTTAAAGTTTAAGGGTATTTGTGTCTATTTAAGTGATATTTTGGATATATTTGAAAGTTTTTATAAAAACTAACATTTTTGAAATTAGAGGCTTATATTTGGCTATATTTAATAAATACTCCTATATTTAGCATATATCTAATATTTAAAAATAAAAAACCAAAAAAATTCTCTCCCCACTCCCACATTCTCTCTTCCTCTCCTTCCCATTTTATGAACAAAAATAAAAAATGGTCACACACACGGTGTGTAGGCATATGCTAGTTTCTAATTAATAGTTGCAAATGTATTGGTCTCTACTTGTTCATAGTTTTGCAGTGAGTCAATCATCAACTGTATCAAATAGATAGATGATTCGTAATGCTTTTATTGAATCCATCAATATGTTGTTATACAATTTGATGACTAAATGATGTCATCTTTTTAATTATTGATTTTTTAGAGATGACCTTTACAAAGGGATTTATAATATTAACGGTTCCAATCATAAACATGAAGCCTGAAATTCCAAAATCTGAACCATCCAAAAATTATTGGATAAGAACTAGAATGTACTTGAATATTTCAAATTTGATCCGAAAATTCTAAAACTTGCTAACTCAAGACACTTAAATCATATACTTAAATATCACTATACTTTTACAATTACAAGTTCTTTAATTATATTACATACACTAATTAAAGATATATATTATGTAGTGAGAGAGCCCAAGAAATGGGATACTTTTGATTTTGATATAGACTAATCTGAAGAGGAAAAAAAATATGAAATTAATCCGATTAGTTTTAAATAGGCAGGAGTTTTTGAATTTCTAAAATTCCCATTATGAAATTGGAATTGATATTCATTTTTGAAATTTTTTGGATTGAAACTGAAATCTTGTAATTGATCTGATCCCACACTAAAGTTCAAAATCATAATCCACTTTTCCCTCCCCGTTATTCTTGTTGCTCCCTTCACTTTCTTTTCCCTAACCCTAACCCTAATTAACCTAATCCCAATATAATCAACTAAATAAAGGTGGGGAGAAGCACTGTACTGCCAAACAAAGTTGCCATAATGCCACTAATTGGTTGGTTTTGTAGCCATTCTCTTGGGATACCTTTTGCTTATCGTCGTAGTTCTTCCTTCATGCAAAAACTTATACTTGGTGATATATATATTAAAGTCTTTTTCTCAGTATATATATAGTGAAAAATATCTTGTCAAATATCTTTGTGGGGTTGTTTTAGTGGGTAGCTGCATTACAAGCTAGAAGGTGGAACCCTAGCCGCTCTGCGCATTTATTTTTTTGAAATATCAAAGAAGATGGAGACAACAAATGGGTGAGAAACATGGGTGCCAACTTTGCTAAAATAATGTATATATCTACAATTCAATTAATCAATATTAATTCATAGCACCACTTGCCCTTAATACCATTGAAATTTCGGCCCACAGAAGCTCTAACCCTATTCCCAGCACCTGGTTTTGCTTAGTTTCCTGCTTCAGTTTAATTAGACCCCGTAGCTCTGTTTTAATGAATGTAACAAGACAAACCTAACTTGCCCTTTTTATGACAAACTATATCGGGATGGCAACTGGTATCAAATCCCATATATCTTTTACCCATGGTACAATAAATGGCCTGTAACTTGATCGTACTGTAGATAGTAACTGGGTAGCTTGTAAGGTATATCTGCTCAATTGGCACATTGGATTATTATTCAGTCTGAATTTGGATGCCGCTAGTATTAAAAAACCACCATTGAGAACTAGATAAAGCATTGCATACAATCACTTAGTCTGGTTTTTGCTTCGATAAAACCTAAATCAGTTTTTTGTTTTGTTTTAGTTAGTAGAAAATGCATTTTTATATTTTGAGTTGGTAAGTATTTGTTTTCCTCACTCCCTTTATTAATTTTATCCCACTTGAAAAAGTGAAGTCTTGCATTACACAATAAATGTGACGTATCATTGCTAATAATTGATTTTTTGAATTGGTATAGAATGCAATCCTATATATTGCATATTCATGTTAATTATTAAGCAGAAAATCTTCGATCGATTTTTCTTGTCCTTGATAACATAAAAAATGGAGCATTTTCTCACTCCAATCATCTTATACCACTTAATTGGTTGACAATTCCAACTAAAATTATTAGGGACGTAAATTTAAATGATTAGAACTAGTTGAGTTTTTAGGTTCTCTTTGAAGGGTGCAACTACTATTAATAAAATCCAAAATATTTTAGCCGTTTGATTATTTTGTATTTTTATTTCCATCCTATCTAACGGATTGTGTTTATTTGCACGTTTTAGTACCAAATAATTTTGGATCTAAATGATTTTGGTAGCTAGTTTGAGAAAGAGGATCTAAAATATAGATATATAATTTAGATTGCCCATAAGGGGTGGTATTGTTTCATTTTCTAGTACATCAAATCAAACCATCTTAA